TATATATATATATATATATATATATATATATATATATATAATATACAGCCTTTCAGCTATAGAACTTCTGTTTTCGCTAATGAAACCTATAGAGCCCTTTTTTCAAAGAGCTTTTGATCTACATTTTCAGCTTTACAAAATAATAAGCCATACCTGAATGTAGGAATAGCAGCAGGTGGGATGAAAGATGCCAGGATAATTATTGGAGACACACAACGGTCGTCCTGTGAGAAGCATACACACAAAATGAAACCCACTAGAAATCTTTGTTAACCAGAAGAATTGAGACTATATCAAATAGTATCCCTGTATTTTAAAGCATAATAATAAGCTTTCAGAAAAATAAATCAGCAAGTGTGAGCTTGACACTTATTAAAGCATCTTCTTATACAGCAGCACTTACCCAATAATTTGGGCTGTCTAGACTGTGCCACAAACATAAACTAACAACCCTATTGGAAATTACATTCTGTTTGGATGAAAATGTTCACAGCTGGATAATTGCTCTTAAAGGCATTTTCATAAAATTATTGTAGTTCTGTATAAAAAAAGAGCCTACTCATTTTAGCTCCATTAATAATAAAAGCTCTAGGCTGAAGCATTACTCATGTTTTAAATTAGAGTAAGATTTATCAAATGTAGATGAAGATTGCAATTACCGTATCAAATAAGAGGCATCTACAAGGTATGATAAGCAAAAGTGATTTCATAGAACACTGACAGAATTATTTTCCTTATTCCTGTCCACTGATCAAGAACTTCCTGTCTTTCCCCAATCTCGAAACTATGCTTCTTCCCACCCCTATCCCTAATTTGGGCCTAGTCAGAGATTGTGCTAGAAAATGCTAGTTCTTATATTTTCATCTCTTTCAGGAATGGCATTAAGCCTTTGCAACTCAGGCCATTATATTGGCAATGTGCTGCTAAGTTAAACTCATGTGTTTAATGAGAATATATAGATGGTTCCAGTTCATGGTAGCAAACATGGGATCTGAAACTGAAACTTGATGTTTTGTTCTCATCTGTCAACCACAGTTTGATAATACTCATAATCTACAAATTAAGTCAATCTTATCTGACATTTACCTTGAAAATTTTTAAATATGTTGGTAGCACAGAAGCAAACTTTTGGACAATGTGATTTTTTGCTTCTTCATTGCAATCAAGTTGTTTCTGAATACTCCTCCAGAGAATTACGATAATTTCAAGCAAGCCAGCCATGGAAGGTATGTCATCAATCAAAAATAAGTTATCTGTTACCTGAAATGCAAAATAGATTATAATTAAGGTGGTGCCATTCTTAAATAATATGCCTCAAATTAAGGTTACTTTAAAAATGGAATAATACGTGTGCTAAGAAGGCTTGCATTATTTAAGGCAGGATCAGTGCTCCTAGGGTTCTTCCCAGGGGGAATTTTCAAAACCTGTATAATGGTATGTGAAAATAACCTTGGGAGACAGGAGGAAGAGCTGCAGATGAGGCAATGGTAGTATAAAGTCTGCAGAAGAACGGCGGAATAGCAAGCATCTTAGAAGAGACACTCCCTAATTTCTTGGTCTGAAAAGTGGGAGGGGAACCGATAAATGTAGTCCTCAACTTATGACCACAATTGGGGGCACAATTTCTGTAGCTAAGACAATTGTTCAGTGAGTTACAGCCGACTTTATCTTTTTTGCCATGGTTTTAAAAAAATCATTGCAGTTGTTAAGTAATCCTAGTGCCTGAAATTTGATCATGTGACTATGGGGATGTTGCTACAATCATAGATGCGAGGGCCAATCACTCTTTTCAATTCTGCTAGAACTCTGAACAGCTGCTAAACCCAAAAATTGTAAGTCGCGGACTACCTCCATATTTTGAGACTTGCAATATCCAGGTCAGCCTTGTGAGGTAGTCCAGACAAGCAGCAGACCCAGAAGCACCACCAATAACTTTATTTTAAAGATACATTAACGGAATCTTCTGTGAAGGAATAAGTTCATTGCCATCTCTAACAAACCAGCAATGAATTATATATCTTGTATGAATTATATTTCTTGTATGATGATATCATGTCATCATTACACAAGATATATGATTCACATCATACCGCTATCATCTTGATAATATATTTTAGAAGAAGGTAGATGAACAGGTAGGTGACATCAAAAGCATAGCCTGTTTCCAGAGTGAGGTGTGGGAGGAGTAGCCAATGGGTATTAACCCAGCCCTCTTGCCCTTGGAGTCTGAGGATAATCCTTTGAAGCCACGCCTCTGATCCTCCTCTTGCTCTCCCAAATTAACCTCAGACTCTAGCCCAGAAGGAGTGTTTTTCCAGACTCTCCCTCACCTGGAAAGTTTAGGGTTTTTTTCCTTCAGGTTTTTCTAGGATTGCAGCCTCTAGGAATCCCCAGGATTCTACAGGCTGCATCACCTTGCTTTAGGATTAAAGCTTTTTTTCCTTTCAGCATTTTTTCTCTTAAAGAAGATTTTTGTGGATTACTCACCCCTCCTGCTGTGCTCTCAGCGATCCCCAGCAACTGAAGGGTTGCGTAAGAGGGCAAAAGGAGCCGCGTGGGCCATTTGGAGGCCCCCTTACACCCAGGAGCCCAGCAGAGGACCGGGGAGTCGAGGAATCTTCCCCCAACGCTCCCAAGCAGCTGGGAATTGAAGCGGAGACTAGCGACCGCCATCTTGAATCTCTGCCATTTTGAGGAGAGCACATGGTCGAGCACGTGATCAGCTCGCCTCCCACGGAAGCCGAAAGTGCTCAGACAGCATCGAGAAGGCCGGAAGAGGCCTAGAGCGACCCTATTCT